TCTTTCATGAGTGGGACACATACCTATGTATGCCTTGGTTCGGTTCTGCTCCACAGCTGTGTACATACAATTCTGTCATGGGTGGGAATTCCGCAGAGTATTCTTCAGGTAAGTAGCTCCTGAATTTCGGCAAATTTTTTAGCCTAAGCGAAGTTAACTTGGAGAAGGTGATTGTCGTACCGGCTGCTTCTTCACATTTTCCATGGCCGGCAATTAGCTCCATATTTTCACAATACCGCACGTCCAGCTTTTCGATTTGCCCAAGAAATTCCACCGTGATGGTTGGGAAAAGTATTTTCAAACGAGGGCAACCATAAGCCTCCATGGATCTCAAGTTTGGAAATGGAATGTTTGGGAGATCATTGTGCTGCCAAATGTGCCTCGAGTTTTTGAGATCATGCACAATTAGGCTCCTCAATTTACTGCTCTTTGTAATTGTCTCATCACTTTCGTATATGATCTCGATCAAGTGGCACATTCTTACTATTAGGATCTCAAGACAGCACTGCAGCCTCTTCCACATACGAGATGGGGCAATGCATTGGAGATTGTCACAATCCTTCAATTTAAGCGATTCCAATTTGCAAAAGGAATTAGTGGGAATTTGATTGTTCCATAGCTCTTTACACTGAACGCCTTTAATAACTAGTTCTCTTAAATTGGGGAACGTAACCTACACGAGGATAAAGTGAGAAAAGAGCAGCAGGACAAATTGATGCATTATTTGTTCTAAGACATGATAATACAAGAATATAGATAATCATAGTAAGGATATAACAAACCATCTCATTGAACAACGGCTGGGGCGATTCATCATCCTCGTCGGCTGTCTCGCCTAATGGCCTCTTGACACTTGTAGGACTCAGGATGAACGCTCCAAAGATAGGGCACCCGGTAATAGATAATTCTTCTAAGGAGGGGAAATCATACAAACAACTTCCTGAGTTGAAACAAATCAGGTTATCGAGCTTGTCAAGTTTCAACTTAATTAAGCAAGGGAAACTCATCACATCTTCCTTTGATCGACCACCTTCTTCCTTGGGAACGACTTCCTTCATCTGTTGGCAATCTCTAATTGTTATCGTGTTGAGTTTCTCTAGAGTTGTGGCCGTAAAATAAGGGAAGAGATATCTTAGCTCGGAGCAATCAACAACCCAGACATGTTTTAAACTAGGAAAACCCAAAACCGTTTGATACTCGCTCTTCACCACGTGTCTCAGCCTTCTTGCTCCACTCACCTCCACTTTTTCAAGTTTCGAGAGCAGTAGTTTCGTATTCGAATCAAGGGACCCACAATCAAACAACGATTCCACGGATGGACACCCTGAAACGTAGACGCGTACCAAGTCTGGGAGCAATTCCCTTGTTCGTTTTGTATTTGAATCAAGGGACCCACAATCAAACAACGATTCCACGGATGGACACCCTGAAACGTAGACACGTACCAAGTCTGGGAGCAATTCCCTTGTTCGTTCTGTATTTGAATCAAGGGACCCACAATCAAACAACGATTCCAATGAGGGACAGTTTGAAACTTTGACCCATTTCAGGTTGTGCAATCTCCCTATGATTGTCGAAGGGAAGACCTTGAGTAGGCCGGTGCAATTATTTAGGGTGAGGGTGGCTAATTTGCAGAAGGAATCTCTAGGAAGTTCACCGTGCCAAATCTTTTTCAAGGATTCTATTGAAGTAAGGTGTAACTTCTCCAAGCTTGGTAAACTAACCTGCTCATAAGATTTATGCATCAGATCGTAGCTATGAAAAATTTGATAATTTGGCTTAATCCTAACTGATTTATTTGATGAGGTGGAAGAATGAATTTTCATTAGTGCCCTTACTCTGACAAATGTAGTTATAAATTATGAAAACATTTTAACTAATAAAACCAATGAAAAAATCTTCACAGAGATACTATTACTTGCCCTGCAAATCGCGTGCCTATGGCTATTATGGGTATTATCAAAAGACAAGGGATGCGTACCTTTCGATCGAAGAAGGAATCGGAAGAAGCATCTTGTGAATCTGAAGTAGTGGTAGGACATGAGAAGAATTTTTCCATGTGACAGTTAAATAAACGTAGTTGCTTCGGTAGCAGGAATTCTATGACGTCATCTCTCCCTTCATCTCTTCCTTCTTCATCCATGATCACTGCCTTCATATTTGGACAATGTTTCACGTCAATGTATTCAATTTCTCGAAGACATTTAGCCACAGAAATTGGAAAGAGAAATGCCAACTACGTATACCAGACCATGAGTTCCTTCAAGTTTTGGAATCTCGATATTCTTTGTAATCGCACATCCTGTTTCCACATGCGCTGCAAGTTCGGTAACTTCTTTAACGTCAATTTAGTTAGCCGAGAGAGAATCTCGACATGGTCCAGGTCGAAAACTACTTCTGCTGATGGAGAACTCTCAATTTTCAATGACTCCAAATTCGGCATCTTTAGTATCCAATCTGATTTCAGAATACTCAACGCGGATTGAGACTCCCTTATCTCTATCGATTTCAGATTGCTGTATTCTAATGGAGGTTGACCGAAGAGTATCTTTTCCAGGTTGATGAGTCCCCCCATCACCAGCACCAGGGATTCCAAGCGAGGGAATGAAACCTGACAAAGCGCCACAATGAAACTCAGTAAGGGCTTTGCGGTTTCTATAAAGGATCCTCAAAAGTGTTTTTCTTTGCTTTATAAATTTTTTCGCTAGCTATTCCAATCGTTAATAAATATCACAAATCATTTTTTCGAACTGCATTTTAAGCGGAACCAACTACAAGAAAACAATTTATTTTCAAGGAGAATGATTTATCGAGAAAACATTCTTTAGCAAAAATGAGTTTTCAGTAGAACAAAAGAACCCAAAGTATATGTATGGGATCGGCGTCTTTTAAAAACGTCGAAAACTTAATTAATCAATATCGAATATTTAATACATGCAAAAAAAAAATATTGACTATTTAATACTCAATTGATCTCGAAAGCTCAGATCTTCCGTCGTGCTTGAAAGGATGGAGAAGGAAATATCCCCAAAAAAGGTGACGTTGACAACGTGTTGGAATCAATTGCGGCTTGCATGTGGACTTTCATTGTTATAAAATTATCATTAAAACTGTCAGATGAGTAATAAATCAGTCTTAGTAGAAACCCATATTAGAGCCCAAGTAATTAGTGCAATTATCTAAAATTGAAAAAAATAAAAATAAAATCAGTCGTGCAACGAGGCTTCCCTCTATCTATAGATGAATGTGAATCAAAATGTGTGGTCTGTGGTTCGTTTGAGAGGATTTTTTTTTTATTTGTGATTCAAACGTCACAATGTACAAATAATCAAAGATTAATGCAATATGCTATGTTTCGGTGAACACCAACATCACCTTATCCTAAATCCCCCAATAGTAGTATGATCTTAGTAGCCTTTACAAGATAAAGAATTAATGAAACTTATACCCTTTCAGAAAGATAGACTGACACGGGAAGAAAATGAACAAATTACCTGAATTGGAGTGTCCTCTGACGTGATTCCAGCTCCTGTGCAAAAGCTCGTCATATTTGGTAATTTAGTCAATTCCAGACGGCGTACCTTAGGCAACTCAACTCTGTTATCAGCAACAATTGTATCTTTTCCGGTATCATCTGTGACAATGGCTCGCATTGAGCCACATTCCCGTACTTCAATCTCTTCTAACTGTACGAGTCTTTGCATGTGCGAAAGACACCACAAGTGTATCAATCAGTCGCACTTTGTGATACTCACAGCTTTCAATTTGCTGAAGCACTTTGGGGCGAGATGGGCATGGCATATCTTCTCTAGGTTAACAAGATTTTCGAGGAATAAAGACTCTAAAGTCGTACAAGCACCATTGGGTGAACTATCAATGTACTTGATTGAGGGGCTATTCTGAATGTCGAGATGCTTTAGTTGTGGAAATCCTTGGGTACACAACTCGTAAGCATTCTTCTTGGACTCTCTTAACCCGTCCAAATGCAAGTATTGAGTCTTATGGAGAGTTTTCTGAATCCATTCTCTTGAAAGAATACCATCGAACCCTTCCAATTTGAGTTCCATGGTTCTCAAACCTTTAAATTTCCTCCCTTTTGCATTTCCTATGTTGATCCAAAATCTGATCAAATTCCCAAATGACAGATCACCACCATCCTCCAAGATTATGGTGATATCAGGGATTGATATTTCCAGAGAGGTAAGCTTTGTCAAGCTGTTTAACTCGGCAAGCCTAGCGTTACCCGATTCCGATGGTATTTCATCCTCGCCCATCCATTGATCAAAGCTTCCCTTCATATGTAACTCTTCCAAGTTAATTAAGCCCTTCAATACATTAGGCTCGATTATCTCAAGCTTGTCGCAATTGCTTAGATTCAACGATCTTAGATTCGTCAGGTCCCCGATATCTTTAGGCAGCCTAGAAATCGCGGACCCTGCAAAGCTGATAATCTGCAATGCTTTGAGCTTGCCAACGATTGTCACATCCTCCACATAACAATGCTCTAAGTATAACGAATGGAGGTTCCCAAGGATTTCCATCGAGGAAGGTAAACTATGGATATACATGGAGCAAAGACATAGGGCTCGGAGCTCCTTCATGTATGTGAAATACATTCTACTGCAATCTTCCATATCATATTGTTTCGACAACATGAGTATCGTCACTTGAGGAAACCGACACATCATTAGTTCAGCAAGTCCATCATTGCCAATATTAACTAGGCATGCCCAACATTTCTCCAGTTTTTCTTTTGGCCATGAGCCATAATTGCTATTAATCATTAAGGAATTCCAACCACTAAATGGAGTTGAGATGACTACCTCGCTGTAAAGATCATGTATGGTCACTATTTCCTTGTCATCGCCACCATCTAGCAACAAACAAGCGGAGAGGAGTTCATCGAGCATAGTATTCAATCTATCCCTTGAATCTTGTATCGTATTACTGAATCTCTCAAACAAGCCCAAAGTCTTGCCTAGTACTAGTAGAATATCGACTCAAAGGTTCCCACCAATAAGACCACAGAGCAAGAATAAGGTCTTGGTGTCCTCGCTCTTCAAATGGTGGTAACTCAACTTCACTATGGCTTCCACGTTTGACTCTTCTATATTTATCAAGGCGTTTCTCCATGCGTACACATTGCTATCTTTCAAGGTGCTTGCGACAGAGATAATCAAAAGAGGCAAACCTGCAAGTTTCTTGACCACTTGAGGCGGTATTGCTTTCAATTCCTTGTCGTCTTCAAGCTTGTCGCCGACCGTCTTTTCAAAGAGCCTTAAAGCTTCATCGTCTTTCAAATCTTCAACACGAAATGTTGGTTTGGCAGACATCTTAGCCTGCAACACATCTTTATATCTCGATGTAAGTAACAACTTGCATCCCGCGCTCTCGTCTCCTGAAGGAATTCCAACCGCTTTCAAATCCAGTTCCTCCTGCATATCGTCTAACATTACGAGGATTTTCTGCTTGCTCTTTAATTCCATTTGTAATCGCTTTAACAGAAGATCTGCTCTCCCGACTTTGCTTGGCACGTTATTTAGATCCAGACTAAATGCGTATGCAATATCTTCTTGGATATTCTTCAATTCCCAAGTCTGCGATACTGTCGCTTTGGCGATCACGTCGAACAATCTCTTCTCGCTCCTTATTCTCTTTTCGATTTGCTCCAACAACCAGCTCTTCCCCACACCGCTAGGCCCGTAGACCCCAATCACTCGGTGCTTCTCATCATCTAGAGCATTCATTATGTCCTCTAAGATGGAAGCTTGCGACTGGATGATAGTGTTGCCCCAATCACCGACCGAGGAATTCACGTCGGCAGTGCCGGTGACATGCCCCGGCGGAGCATTCTCGTAATAGACCTCCTCAAAATAACTCTGCAGAGTGAGTGCCTGGATCTCCTTGAGCATCCTCCTTGCCTCTTTGCCAGGACAATAACGCGCCTTCGGGTTGGGAAGCCACCCGTAGAAGCAAGTTTTCTGGGCTCTTCCATGATAATCCAGCACACCGCTCGCCTTGTTGGCAACGGTCTCTGCATCATTCTTCAATCTGTAAACTTCGCGTTTGATCTCCTTCATGTTGTTTTGAGCATCATTGATGGAGCGCTGCACCCCAACCCTCGCGTCCTCCAGCTTCTCAACTTCATCGTTAAGTTGGCGAACGTTGCTGTTGGAGAATATCACGTAGCCGCATTGACGACAGACCGGAGCCACCAGGTACTCTGCCACTTTGGAAGCCACAGACACAACAATATCAGCCATTTTGCAGACTACTTTTCTGGTTTTCTTGTAGGAGAAATGGAAGTGAAGAAATTATATATGCCGAGAAAGGCAGAACTGATGGAACCCAGAAACGACAGGGAACTGACTGAACTGGAAAGATTCAATACGAAGAATCCACAGCCCCGAAAAATTTGGTGAAAAGAGAGAGCTTCTAGCAATAGGCGTAGATTCAGAATGAAATCTAGAGTGAGGAAGAGAGCATTTAGAGTTGCAATGATCAGAAAGAGGAGCACATGGCTTTTATAGAGGTAGCGTTACTATGTTACACACACAGAATGTGGAGTGACTTTAATTTTTAATTTCCCGAAGGTGCCATCCCGTCCACCAATGCGCACAGGCTGTCCAGGGGTCACCATTGCTTTGAGGTGAGTGAGTTCATACACTGTCTTACACTGCAAAAAGTTTTTTCAAGTATTGAAATTGGTTTGTGAAAGAAAAAAAAGAAAGAAAGAAAGAAAGAAAAAAGATGTGAAATAAAACGGGACATGAATATTCACACGTGAGCATCGACCTCTAGTGATTGATACCCTTTGTAAATATGCATCTGTTTTTGATTACGGCAGTCCGCAATTTCGTTCAATTTTGAATAGCTGCACTATAATGAAACAAGATGAGCATTTCCCGAAATATTAGCCTATTCTTAAGATAACAATTTCCTGATTCATAATTCCATGCTTAAGTAGTATGTCTCAAATCTGAATTGATCAGGTTATTGGAGAGCCAACTGAATTTAAATGCATACATCTGTTGTACTCAATGACACCTAGAGATTAGTTAATAGATTGCAAGCCTACCACAAACATATTACTTATCACGGTTTTTGTTAACGGCGTAGCTACCGTATTTGTTACAAAGCTGTAATAGATATTAAGTGACCCCTAAAACTTTTGAAAGAAAGTACTTCATGTGAGGCATCAAACGAAGACTTTTGATTAGTAAATTTAGGGAAAGGCTTTATCATCGGTTGGTCGGTCCATGGCATCCTATAGGATCTCTTCTTCATCACCATAGCTGAACTATGCTTCATTTGTCAGATATGGAGGTAGACTTAATATTGATTTCTAAAGGTAATCTTTTTTCCATCTTTTAATACACCTCACATTGATCACTATAGGCTTCAGTACTCTGTTTCTTACCATTATTCACTAATTTTGAGTCAAGGACTAGCATGTTATGAAATATCTCCATAACACAGAGATATGGCAATAGATGAATCTCTTCCACCGAGCTGCACACACATTAACCATATGATATTTGTGGATTTGATGCTTTCTATTCATGCCGGGAATACAGTCTGGACTTTCTTGGTTACAAAATGCCAAATTACGATCAACCATCAAACCAATGAGATACCTTATGTGGAATCAATTTCATAACTCCGTATCTTCTAGTTAGTAGCTCGTATAGATTGTTATAATATAAACGCGGAAACGACAGGACCTTACAATTTAAGTCAATGCGAAATTATCGGAGAAATAAACGAAGAATAATGAAGAACATCAAAGATTTATGTGGTCGGTACCTATATCTACGGGAAAGCAAGTAGAAAATAATCTATTATAATCGGAGAAGCAGAGTTTCAATCGCTCATACGCTCGAGTGTTTCTCATATCTAGATTAAGCTCAAATTCAAAGTGTTTATAAATAATACAACTCGATCGGATGTAAAATTCACGGCACAAAACCGCCGTGTACGGCCGAACAAAGAACGTTGTGTGTTCTTTTTTTTGTCTTCTTCTTCACGGTGCGGCTCGCGCGTGCAGCTCCTTGCTGTTTACTGTGCGGCTATTATAAAAGGAGGTACCCACAAAAGTCTTCTTTTTCCCTTGTATGCATGCTGCGGCAGACAAGAGAGGAGAAAAGCAAAACCCTTGCTTTTTACTTTCCTTTTCTGATTTCTCTACTCCATAAAATAAACATAAATATATTTATTAAAAGTCTCCCTCATTTCGACCAAAAAAAAAAAAAAGTCTCCCTCATTTTGTCCTTTAGTGGCCGAGAACTTTTCCCTTTTGTTTTAACCGTGAGATGCTCCCCTTCTTAAATCTCTCTGTGCCATTAAACTTGGATATTTATTCAATCGGGTTGGGTTCCGCAACTACTCAAACTCAAGACATAATTTAATAATTCTCTATCTTAGCTCGAAATTTGAAGCCACGTCATAATGCTTATCATCTATGCTACTTTTCCAATGCCCCGACGAGCACTTACTGTTTATAGATGCCAATGGTGCTCAAGTAAAGCTTGAGCTTCGCTTTAGGAATATGCTTAATCATTATGTCTGCTGGGTTCTCTGTTATCACTATCTTCTTCACAACAACTTTACCCTTCGCTAAGACATCTCGGATGAAGTGGTACTTGATGTCGATACGCTTCGTTCACTAATGTTAAATTGGATTATATGTTATTACAGTGCATATCAACACTTTTTCTATTTTAACCCAAAGTCTGAGAGCAAACCCCTTAGCTATATGGCCTCCTTCACTATAAAGGTCAGTGCCATGTACTCTGCCTCAATTAAAGATAAAGTAACATGGTCATGTAAGGACGCCTTTCAACTTATTGCACCACTTGCTAGCATAAATACATACCATGCTAAAGACCTGCACTCATCCAAGCTTGTGGTCTCACTGCCATTGATGTCCCTTTGGTACATTATACCAACGTTTGCCATCCCCTTTAAATATCTGAGGATTTATTTCACTACTTCCCAACAAGCTTTACTAGGATGCTTCATATAATGGCTAACGATGCTCACAGCCAGGCATAGTGCATATCATAGCATACATAATACTCTCCACTGCATTAGAATAAGGAACACGGGACATATGCTCTTCTTCCTCCTCAGTCTGTGGTGATAACTTATCTGAAAGTTTAAAGTACTTCGCTAAAGGTGTACTCACATATTTCATTGACTGCATATTAAAACGTGCCATAATTTTTTCAATATATTTATTTTGAGACAAACGTAAAACTTCTGCAGTCCTGTCACACAAAATCTCTATACCTAATATTTTCTTTATAGTACCTAAATCTTTCATCTCAAACTCAGCACTCAATTATCTCTTCAATATATCAATATTAGACATATTCTCAGCTTCTATTAATATATCATCAACATATAATAATAGATATATCAAAGACCCATCCTCCAATCTCTTAAAGTAAACATAGCTATCCATATGATTTTTCGAATAGAAAGCATTAAAGTGCTTATACCATTGCCTAAGAGATTGTTTCAGCCCATATAATTTTTTTTTTAACAAACAAACATGATCTTTCTTACCCGGAATAGCAAATCCCTCTGGTTGCCTTATGTAAATCCAATCCTCTAACTCACCGTGAAGAAACGTTGTTTTCACATCTAGCTGCTCTAGCTCGAGATCATGTCAAGCAACTAAGGCAAGTAATATACGAATAGAAAAATATCTTACCACAAGAGAGTACACTTCATTGTAGTCAATGCCCTCTCGCTGTGTATACCCCTTCGTGACAAGTCTCGTCGTATACCTTGCTACCTCAATATTGGGATTACTTTCGACAATCTTCTGGCTCTTGGATATTTTGACCAGCTCTCATGTCTGATTTTGATGGAGTGATTCCATCTCTTCACTCGTAGCCCCTAGCCACTACAATGACTCAGAACTAGCCATCGCCTTAGAGTAAGACGAAGGCTCATCTGTCTCCACCTGGTTACATACAGTCAATACATAAGCAATATCTGTATAACCATAACGTATTGATGGTTTAATTTGCTTTCTCTGTCTACCCGCGGCTATAGTGTGTTGCGTTTGTGCTAATTGTTCAATATCACCAACTTCAGGAAGGGTTAATATCACCAAAAACTTCAAACTGATACACGTGTGACAATTTTACCCCGAACTTTTTTTTTATCACCAAAAACCCCAAACTGGTGCACATGTGATAATTTTACCCCGAACATACCCCAAAAAACCCCAAACTGGTACACTTGTGACAATTTTACCCTGAACATACTGCAAAAAATTTCAAACTGGTACACATGTGACAATTTTACCTTGAACTAAAATTTTATTATTATTTTTTTTATTTTTTCGAATTTTTATTAATTTTTTTGTTTTTTCTTTTCTTTTTTTTTTCTTCATCTTCAACCTTTGGCCGATCGCCGGACCGGCGACTGGCCAGATGCGGAAGCCGGTGAGGTCGACCCTACTGGTTGCTGGCGAGGGCCGCCCTCGCCGATATCTAGTGAGGGCGACCCTCGCCTAAGTCGGGCGAAGGTTGCCCCTCGCCGGATCAGCAAGGGCGACCCTGCGTCGGCGTCGGGCGAGGCGGCCCTCGCCGGCGTCGGGCGAGGGCGGCCCTCGCCGGCGTCGGGCGAGGGCCGTCCTCGCTGTCCGGGTGAGGGCGACCTTCACCTAATGCCGGCAAGGGCAGCCCTCGCCTGAGTCGGGCGAGGGCCGACCTCGCCTGGGCGGGCAAGG